TATGAAAGTAGAAATGGAATATTATTGATGATAACATGCATGATTAAGCCACTATGCAGCCTATTCTAGATGGGAAACTACATTTGGTATGTTGTGATGATGCTCAGGGAATGAATGTTAAGTAATTTTAAAAAAAGTTGCAGGAGGAAAAAAAAACAGTAAGACTGTTCATATTGAAATTTTTAAAAAATGCATATTTGATGACTGCAGTAAGCTATATAGCCCCAGCTGGGTACTACTTTATAATATGTTCATTCTACTCACTGAGGTTTATGCATAAAGTCATACTTGGGTTCATGCATAGGTATATATGAGCTGTGCTAGTTACTGGATATATTTAGACTAATTAAGTTCATTAGCAAATCAATTAAATGGGGAGGAGGCATAGAAAGCAACCATGGATACTAGAGACAATGTGGGAGGAGGGTGGGACATGGCAGAGGGTGAGGGATAGGGAATCAAGGATGGCAAAACAAAAAACAAAGTTTACAAGACATAAGAATTGGAAAATTATTTGCTGATAACATGTATGTTGATGTGCTTGATAGAGCCAATACACAGTGTATTTTGGATGGAAAATTCATTTATATGTTGTAATGATGTATAGTGAATTAATGTAAAAAATAAATAAATTTAAAGAGAAAAAAATTTTTTAAATTTTAAAAAAGAAAACAATAACCTTTTCTTTTCTCATTTAGTTATCACTTAATCGGTAAAGCAGTTCTATCCTGTGACCTTGTAAAAGGCGAACTGGCATGGTCGGGCAAACCCCCACGATGTGAAAGTACGTACACTGTCTTTTTAAAATCCAGACCAACAGTTCTCAAACTTTTTGGCTTCAGGATCTCTTTATGCTTTTAAGAGTAACAAGGACTCCAAAGAGCTTTTCTTTATGTGGGTTATAGCTACTGCTAGTTATCATACTGGAATTCAAACTGAAAGGTTTTAAAAATAAGAATTCACTAATTTAGTTGAAGAACAATGAACTCAGTACATGATAACATATGTAACATGTTTTATGAAAGATAAACATTTTCCGAAACAAACCCAAAACGTGAAAATAGTGCCATTGCTTTCCATTTTTGCAGAGTTCTTGACTATCTGACTTAAAGGGAGACATTTAGATTCAGTTTGGTATATTCACATGTAATTGGTAGCCTCTGAGAAAACAAATCACTGTATACTTGTAAAAATGAGAGTGGAAAAACATAGTATCTTGGTTTTGTTGTAAACTGCCAACTTAGATCATGGATATATTTATAAATTATAAAGCATTTTCCAACTAGCCCTCTGTTTTATCTGTAGTCACAAGTGTGCTTTCTCATTAAATGCCCATTAAATCTCTTATAATGAGTAGAACAATAGATATTCTACACCTTAAGAAAATTAGTTTGGCCAGCAGGTGGCGTGATGGTTAAGGGTGTTAGACTCCCACATGGCTGACAGCAGTTCAAGTTCCGGAACTGGTGGCTTGCTTTCTCGAGAAGGACGAGACTAATCTGCACTCACAGGAATCAGGATCGTGGTTACACTTGAGGGTTTCGTGCACACAGGGAGGCATAAGGAGATTGCGGGTGCTGGCAATGTTCTTTTTACTTATCAGAATGCTGGTTGGACAAGTGTTCCCACCCTGAAAATTAATGCAGCTGTGTCCTGGATGTGTATACTTTTCTGTATCTATACTTCGGTGCAAAGTTTACTGGGCTGGCAGGTGGTGTGATGGTTAAGGTGCTGGACTCCCACATGGCCAACCACGGTTCAAGTCCCGGACCTGGTGGCTTGCTTTCTCACTTTCCCTTTCTCTCTCTCTCTCTTTCTCTCTGTTCCTCCCTGGTCAAATTTAAATAAATAAATAAATAAGTAAATTTAAATAAAATAACTCTTTGAAAAAAAGAAAAGAAAATGACTTTGGGTTGAGCGGGCTTGGCCAGCAGATGGCGGTCGGGGCTGGGGCGCAGTGAAGGGTAGTCGCCAGCTGCCAGGCCGTGCTGGGCGGAGCCAGGGGCGGGTTGGCCTTGGCACTGCAGAGTACACACGCGTCGCCTTCTCCGCCTTCTGAGGCGACAGTAGTCACCTGCACAAGCCAGAAACCAGGTGCTCTGCGGATCACAGCAAGAGAACAGAGGGTTCGCCCAGCGCTGCCGGAGATCCTAGCCTGCCCACTTTCCCCCAAAGCATAGTCAAATGAATTGACTAATGAGTCGAGGATAGCCTATCCAATCATCAAAGGCGTTCCTAATCCGATACCACAGGCAGCTAAAACAAGACATCAAAATAAGCAAGGAGCAACAGGAGATTGTAACTTGAAACCAACAAAACACAACAGCTAAATCTTCTGAGTATCAAATACCTCTTAGGACAGGGTGGCAGGTAGTAAGTGGAGGAGAATGTGTCTGTCTCTTCTTGCACAGACTGTTCTTTCCCACTGGTCTCTAGCTCAGCCTCTGTGGATGAAAACTTTCTGCAAGGCTGCACCAGCACAGGCGGCCTCTGCTTTTACTGTCTGTCCCTGTCATCTATTCTCTGGGTCTATATTCTTTCACGGTAGGACCTGGATGGCTATTCGACTCTTCCCACATGATTAATGCAAACAGAGCCAAGATGGTGTGTATATATAAATGATCTGAGTATCAGTCTTGGACAGTGCAGCTAGAGGGGAATATTGGAGACCCACCCACAGTAGTTTGCAGGAGACATTTTGCCATGCTTCTGTCCACTTTGGGGCTGTGGGAGCCTTAGGCTGTGGAAGCTTCTGCTATTGTAGTCTCGCCTTTGTTTGTTTGTTTGTTTGTTTGTTTGTTTTGAAGGTTCTGATTTATAACTGCTAGATGAGAAGAAACATCTCAACAAAGTGTCAAATGACATTAGCACCCCTCATGGTTAAATGATGACTATTTCATCTCTCATTCATCTAAAACTTAGTCATTTGAAATCTTGTTTGTTTAGCTTCATAGTCTTTGGCAAAATTACATGTTAGAGAGGATTGAAGTTAATTCCAAAGGAGCTACCTTGAAGTAATTGTAGAGAAATGCATCTTGGACGTGGTGGCGCCCGCCCTATGGCAAAAAGCCATGGAGGCTGGAGGATTGCGGCATCAAGTCCATCTCTCTCTCTCTCTCTCTCTCTCTCTCTCTCTCTCTCTTTTGGGACCAGCAGGTGGTGTGGTGGTTAAGG